GTAAATAGTGTTTGGTTCAAAAATTCTGAAACTGAGAATTCCAGGCCTCGAAGTGCATCAAATATCAATGAAAAATATCCCACTGTACGGGCAGCTGTGCATAGCGATGCTATTGGAGCACTTGCGCCGGTACGGCCTGGAATGATACTCAGTGGAGGACGCGATAAGGTTTGCTTCGCATATTTAGCTGGATAAATGCCTGATCTAGTCTCTACTGTCTGCTAACAGCACGAAATAACTGAGGAGGAACTGCTTGTGTATTTGTGAGTGAATAAAAGCTAGTGAGGTAGAAGTTCAGGTAATAACTGATAAAGACTGCGGTAAAGAGGAAAAGTCAACAGTTCATTTACATCCACTCAATTTTATTCAGTTGCCAAACAAGACACATATATAATTGCACATGTCATGCGCTCATGCATTTTTGCACGGTTTCGCGCAGCAGTGCGATTGTTCACAGTCGAAGTGTTCACTGTTTCACAGTTTGATATGTCCAGACACGTTGAAAATCTTGTTTTTTGTATCCTAATTGTTCGAGAAAGACCGAGTGAGCCATCAAATGAGCTTTGACTCTTTGACAAACACCAGTAGTTTTCGTTATTTTTCACATATGAAATTTAAAATGTTGAAAAATTTGTTGTAGCTGATAGCGCTCAATAATACAGATACGGGTGAATGCGTTTTGCGATGGTATGGGCATGAAAAAGAAGTCACTAAGGTTACTCCTCTGTTTTACTCGTTCATTCCGTATAAAAAAAGCTCTTTAGCCAAGTGATACAATAGCTTGAAGAAGCGACTTCCGTTCTCATTATCGGTTCTTGGTTCAAAGCCACTAATGAGCGATCTTATTGCAAATTGCCGAGCGGTTGAAATGAGAAACAGATTCTAGCACTCAAAACTTTAATTAACATTCAGTCGCTTTAAGCACAGGCTGCAAATTTGCCTGATCCATTGGAATATGTAATTTTACCAGATATTTGCCTTTATTGCAGCATCTAGAAAGAGAAACACCAACATCCTTACTATTGACCACTACTACGGCGGACAAATGCAATCTTACACTAACGAACAAAAAAAAAAA